GCGCTTCGGTTGCTTCCGAGTCGAAGACTGAAGAAACCACCGCCAGCCATGCGAAATTGACTGAGGATGATACTGATGAACAACGAGAGGAAAACAGCATCCATGGTCCGGTGCTTGCGGTGCCTCCTTCCACGGTTGCCGCGGGATCATTTGTTTCTGAACTCGCCGTAGCGGCTGAGAGTGCGGGGGCTTCTTGTCCGGAGGACGGTGCCCGGCTTCCCGAAGGCGGAACGGCCCAGCAAACCACACTGAGTGAAGACAATGAATCGATGCAGCGGGATTCAGAGGAGCAGCCACAAGAACTACAGTCAGCGGAATTAACGGAGCTCAATGAAGTTGAAACATCCTCTGAAAGTAGTGATACAGAACCGCCAGAGGAGGGGGGAGAAGCGAATGGCAGGAGCGGCGGATCAGTGTCTTCAGTGGCTGTATCATCGGATATGGAAACGGTCGCTCCACCAGCTGACGGTGAGCACCAGGTGCAACAAAGCACTGAGCCTTCCGCTGAAAATGAAGACGTGCGGTCCACTGGAACCGGAACCACCGGCGCGGAGCGAAGCCTCAGCCTCGAGGCGTGGTACTAAAATTCCGAGAGAACAGTGAACTCAGACAGCAGCCTCACTCCTTCAAAGAGTGACGCCGAAACAACATCCGCGGAGGACACCGGGGGCATCTCCCGGACTAAAGGAGCCGAATTTCCCCTTGAAAACGGCGAGGAGGTGCCACGGTCGGTCGACACCGCACAGGGTAATACAAACAGCACGCCTGGAGACGAAGGGATCCCGTCGGAGTCCAACACTACAACACCCTGACAACGAGACCTTCAACACCGGGGAATTCGCTGAGTTGCTGTCCTTGGGTCTATACCGTGACAAAACCGTGCATGGATGTGTGTCTTGGGTGTTGTTGCTGCTGCTTCTGGTGCTGTGGGGCACTGCGGCTTTCTGCTGAGGTGTGGGGGAGGGTGGAATTGCGGCTTTTCTTGGAGCAACAAATGAGCGGCTTCCCAGCATTACCCACTGAATTTTTTAAAGAATTTTTGTTTTTCTTTTTTTCTTTCGAGCGTTTTTTTTTCTTCTATTTATCACCCCTCATACCTTTTTTTTTTTTTTTTTCTTTTGGGGGCAATCACTATGGACGTTTTTTTCTTTTCTACTCTTCCCTTTTTTAATTGTTTCTTGCTGCACTCTTCCTGCGAGGGGTGCCGTGTGTTTCCCGCCCAACTGCTCCACTCGCGCACCCACCGACACGCCCATGACGACGGCCCTGTGCGCCTCGCCTGCTGCACGCATGAGGAGGGGCCGCGACGAACGGTGCGCTGAGGGAGCCGTGACGTGTGGGCGTGCGACGAGGGCCGGTGGGGCGGAGCACACATTTCTTCCCCTCTTGTTTTGTTTTTATTGCGGCCAGGGCTGGCAGACACCCGCAGCGCCACACACACAGCCACACCCTGCCGCCGTGTTTTTAGGATTTTTTTTTTTGCGTGTCCATTTCATGCGGTGGCGCACCTTTCGGGGTCGGCCTCGTCAGCATTTCTTTCCTTCTGATGACTTTTTTTCTTTTGCTGCGCCCACTCTCCCGATGGAGAGACGCGACTCCCGTCATTTCTGCGTGCTTCTCTCATTCCGCACACACACACGAGTGACTGTGCTCTGCGGGCCGCACTCGCACGCCGATGAAAGGGCTGAGGGGAGCAGCAACACGCAGATGAACCCATGAAATATAAACGATGTGCGGACACATGGAGGGTCAGACGGTTGAAGCACACGTAACCATCCTTTTAATTTTATTTTGTGGGCAAAATACATACAGACGGTTTGGTGTGGCCACACGGCTGCCAGGCGATCTTTTTCTTATTTTAAAATTTGTGTGGAACAGTAATGAACAATTTCCTTTTCATTTATAATTATTTTGTGTGATGGGGTTTATATAAGAGGAAGGGGGACGTTTTTTTGTTTTCAATAAATATTGTGTGAATTGCCGCTGCTTGGAATGCAGTGCAGTCATGAGTTTGAGCGGTCTTCTTCTTGTTGTTTCCGTTATGCGTCTCCGCTGTACATTTTTGTGCGTCTCTCCACATAATTTGCTTCATTTTTTCTACGTCTTTGCTTTGTGTTTCTGCAGGCACACACAACCAGACAAACACACAAGATGCACATTGCAGTGGATTTGAATGCACCTTTTGTAGTGCATGCTGGCAGTTGCTTGTGGCGGCTGTTGTCTTCTTCCGTGGCCATGAGGAGAAGAGGGAGGGAACGCGCACCCCGAGTCACTTTTCCTGCGGGTGTGATGCACTTCCTGTGACTGCGTTGAGTCGGGCAGCAAATCCTATTGTGGGTGGAATTGCCGGAAATTTTTGTGTCGCGTCATGGATGGATGAGGGTTCGCTTGCGCGTGTGGCTGGTGTGGTGGGTGCTCGCTACGTGTGCGTTGTGTGATGGCCGCGGGTTTTGCCGTTTCCCGTTGGCTGTGGGAATGAACTGTAGGCGGTGGCAGAATTTACGGAGCGCCTGGCGCTGCGCGTGTTGAGATGAGCGTGGCGTGCCGTTGAGTGTGTGCTGAAGAAGCAACGCTGAAGGTGACTGTGGGAGTTTGAGGAAGGGGTGGGTGATGATTGTTTTTTTTTTTCTTGTGTGTGTCTGTTGTTGCACCGCGCCCACCTAATTGTTGTGCTTGTGGTGGTGCGTGACTCTTGTCGTAAGAGGTACCGGTGAGTGGTGTAGCGGCCGCGTCTCTCCTTTTGTTTTTGTTCTGCGTTGATGGTTTGTTAGTTTGTGCTGAAGGCTGCACGCAAGTCACAGGAGTGATGGTGATGATGATGACTGGCCGTGTGCTGCTGGTGTGTGCCCTCTGCGTGCTGTGCTGCGGTGCTGCGGTGGTGGTGTCGGCGGCCGACGGTGCTGACGGTCCTGAGAAAGAAGGAAAGGAATCAGCTGAGGATTCAGGGTCTGAATCCCCCGACAGTCAAGAGGAATTACTGGGATCGTCAGGCTCAGTCGATGGAAGGCCCGAATCAGCGGGGCAGTTGTTGGATAAAAAAGGAGGAATAAATTCCCACCAGCAAGTGGACTCGGTCATACATCCATCAACAGGCGATGAAAGAAGGGTGGAAGAAAAAGAAAAAGAGAAGGAAGGAGATAAAAACGTCTCAGGGGCACTTGAAAATTTAAAGAAAGATGAAGAAACATCACCATTACCATCGAACCCACCAGAAGGAGTAGGAATACTACCGCCTCCAATACCGCCAGCATCCAATGACGGTCATGTCGATGGCATTCCTGCTGATGGTGGAATTGTTGGCAATGTTTTGTTGTCTCCTCCTTCTGCTGGTACTTCTCGACAATCGCCTAATCCCACGGTTGGTGATAATTTGCAAAACACCGGCGTTGCGTCGTTCAATCAAGAAAATAAATCTTCAGGAACAGGTAAGCAATTAGGACCAACAACTGCAGGGACCACATTGCCCAAAGTGGACGTACAGAAGGTCTCAATACCCGCATCCGAACAACAACGGGACCGCTCTGCTTCACAAGATGCAGCAAGAAATCATTTTTTTGGAGGAGGTGAAACTGAAAATGAGGCAGATCGGAGTGACGTGGCGACGGAAGGTCCTTCCAAACAAACACCAGGAAATCAAACACTGCCGCAAATAAAAACAACACCAGAACCACCGACAGCACCACCATCACAAGAACGGCCACACGTAAAACCACAGGAGGAACTATCACCAACACCGGACGTTCCAGCAGAGGGAAAAAGCCTACCAGCACCAAGAGTCTCAAGGACCCCAACAGAAGAAACCCACAAGACGCCGTTGTCAGAAACCAACACGGAGCCCGAAACAAAGCTACAACCTTTAAAAGATGAAGTGCAAGAGCAAAATGGTAGTCCCACCAACCAATCGCACTTGTTGAAGAATGCAGCTACCGACAGGCTAGCGGAAACGACAGCATCATCCATCTCCAAAATTGGCAGTGATGATGCTCAACGGCCTTCCTCCAACGAACCACAGGACGGCTCCGAAACTGCTAATACTGATGTTGCTCTTACAGTCGGTGAGGCAGCGCCACAAACAGCAAAACCGGTCACAGTCGCTCAGGCAAATGATACGGTGACGCCTGGCGACAGTGACAGCAGCACCGCGGTTTCCCACACCACCTCCCCTCCTTTGCTTCTTGTTGTTGCGTGTGTGGCTGCTGCGGTGGTGGCCGCGTGAGAGTGAGGGAGCGAGAGCCGTGCACCGCCCGCCCACACACTCGTCCTTCTCATTTTTTGTGTGTCCCCTTGCATGGACTCTCGCCCCCACCTCATCCCACGAAGCACACACATAATGTGCCCATTGTATATATTGCATGCACACCCATGCAGGCCCGTTGGTGTTCTCTTTTGCACGACACGCACCGCTGCCGTCCTGCCTGGCTGCATGGGCGGAGCACCGTAACTGTTTCTGTTTTGCTTTTATTGCTTTGAGTGGGCGACCTCTCTCTCTCCCCCTGTGTGTGTGTTTTGCTTTACGGGAGCAATGAGAGTGTGTGCGCTGGTCGTCCCACGCTTCGGCTTTTTGTTTTGTTTTGCATGTTGTGGTTGAGTGCTCCCTTTCCGCGGGCTGCGTGTGTGTGTTTGTGTGATGATATGAGTAATTTGCGTGTGTGCTATCCGCTTTGCTGTTTGCCGTTACTCCCTTTGGACTCTCTTTTGCCTCAAAGCTGCTCTGCAAGTATAGGCGCTGACAAACACGCAAGCACATGCACACACACACACACACACCGTGTCGTTGTCGCTTTGGAGCAGCGTGAACGCTGAGGACGCACGCACGCTGCGGATGGTCACGGCGGACACTATGGGCTCCGGTGTGTTGGCGCCTGCGGTTTCTTTTGGCCACGCTCACATCCACAGTGTTGGAATCTCCGGTTTGGTCGTGGGTAGTTGGAGAGATCAAATGCGAACACGGTGACTTTCACGCCGTGGGCTCACAGTAACCCTTTGGCCAGTGGCATTGCGGAAGAAACTGTCATGACAATTGCAACGCCGTCACGTCTGTTTTCGAGCATCCCGAGAGAAGCAGTAAAAACATATTTTTCCGCATGACTTTTTGCATCTCCGCCTCAGGGCTGCGCATCACAATTGGGGTTGCCGTGCGGTGGCGTTACCCTTATGAACTCTTGGGAAAGAAGGAGAGAGCCCTGTGTGATGCTCCTGCACCTGGAACTGACGCTGCGCAATTGGTGGCTGTTAAGTGGCCGGTCAGACAATTATTGCTACACCGCAAGGAGAGCAGACGAAGCA